TATGATAATACCTGAAGAAGAGCCAGATGATTCACCTTCCTCAAGTAGTTCTAATTCTGCAAGTAAATCTTCAACAGACTCACAAGAATATAAACCTATTAATTTTATTCCACCGGAAATTGATCCTAAAATTTTTGATCAACCATTCAATTTTGATGATAATCCAAATAATTGGATTATCTTATAGGTAATGAAATATCAGCAACGTTTCAATATATCTGATACTGGTATTGAAGTTTTAACAAAATTTCTTTGTTCTTTACTTGAACATTTCAAAATAAATGAAGCCAATAAATTACCAAAAACAATACATACAATACTATAAAATCATCTTTAGGTATCTTAACTAAATACAAAAAATATGTTGCGTGCCCTAAGTGCTATAAACTCTATAATCAATTAGAAATAAAAAATTATGAAGAAGAAGATCAACCAGCATGTAAAATGTATGTTCATGTAGAATATCCAAATCATAGATCAAAAATATAATGATTGGTATGTAATGAGCCATTAGCAGAGTTAATAAATACAAGAGATAGTATTTTATTACGACTATTAAAAATTTATCTGATTGGAAGCATAAAACAACAACTTTATATGTTGTATCAGCGAGAAGGCTTTGAGAAAATGTTAAGGCATTCAAGTAATAGAAATGTCTTAGCGGGAATTTTTTCAGATATATATGAGGGAAATATCTGGAAAAACTTTGCTATAAATTCAGATAATCTGAGTCCATTTTTTACAAAAGACAGATTGGATACAAATATTGGTCTAGCTATTAATATTGATTGGTTTTAACTATTCGATTATACAGTACATAGTACTGGAGTAATTTACAGAGTTTTATATAATTTACTACGTGAAGCATGATTTAAGCAGAACAATATTTTAATATTGGGTATCACTCCAGGACCAAATGAATCTAGTAAGCATCAAATTAACAATTACCTAGCACCAATTGTTGATGAGTTAATTAAACTATCCTCAGATATAAAACTACCAGCAACTTTTGAATATAAAGAAGAATGAAGGATTTATATAGCATTAATATTAT